CGACATCCAATTTTTTTTTTTGTCGTCGTCGTCGTCGTCGGTATCCTAAAGATATATATATATATATATAACTCTTTTATACTTAGCTACGACAACTGCAACGACATCCAATTTTTTTTTTTTTTGTCGTCGTCGTTGGTATCCTAAAGAAGATATATATATATATATATAACTCTTTTATACTTAGCTACGACAACTGCAACGACATCCAATTTCTTTTTTTTTTTGTCGTCGTCGTCGTTGTCGGTATCCTAAAGAAGATATATATATATATAAGGGGTTCCCGGGTCCCAAGTAGCGATGACCTGGAAAGAGAGGCATGCCTGATTGAAATAAATATGCGGTCTTATGAACGGCAACTACAACAACGACGTCGCCCCATTAAAAGCCACCCCCCAATTAACGCCCGCTATTTAAACGAGTAACCTAACCTAACCTAACCTAACCCAACCCAACCCAACCCAACCCAACCCAACCCAACCCAACCCAACCTAACCTAACCTAACCTAACCTAACCCAACCCAACCTAACCCAACCTAACCTAACCCAACCTAACCTAACCCAACCTAACCTAACCCAACCCAACCTAACCGAACCTAACCTAACCTAACCTAACCTAACCTAACCCAACCTAACCTAACCTAACCCAACCTAACCTAACCTAACCTAACCCAACCCAACCCAACCCAACCCAACCTAACACAACACATCACAACACACCACAACACATGTCGTCGTAGCAGTTGAAGAAACAGACAGCAAGACCGTCTTGGCTAGATAACAAAAAAGGTATCCTAAAGAAGATATATATATATATAATTCTTTTATACTTAGCTACGACAACTGCAACGACATCCAATTTTTTTTTTTTGTCGTCGTCGTCGTCGTCGGTATCCTAAAGAAGATATATATATATAAGGGGTTCCCGGGTCCCAAGTAGCGATGACCTGGAAAGAGAGGCATGCATGATTGAAATAAATATGCGGTCTTATGAACGGCGACTACAACAACGACGTCGCCCCATTAAAAGCCACCCCCCAATTAACGCCTGCTATTTAAACGAGTAACCTAACCTAACCTAACCTAACCTAACCTAACCTAACCTAACCTAACCCAACCTAACCTAACCTAACCTAACCCAACCTAACCTAACCTAACCCAACCTAACCTAACCTAACCTAACCTAACCCAACCTAACCCAAGCTAACCTAACCTAACCTAACCTAACCTAACCTAACCCAACCTAACCTAACCTAACCCAACCCAACCCAACCTAACCTAACCTAACCTAACCTAACCTAACCTAACCCAACCCAACCCAACCTAACCTAACCCAACCTAACCTAACCTAACCTAACCTAACCTAGCCTAACCTAACCTAACCTAACCCAACCCAACCCAACCCAACCCAACCCAACCCAACCTAACCTAACCTAACCTAACCTAACCTAACCTAACCTAACCTAACCTAACCCAACCCAACCTAACCCAACCCAACCTAACCTAACCTAACCTAACCTAACCTAACCTAACCTAACCTAACCCATCCTAACCCAACCTAACCCAACCTAACCTAACCTAACCCAACCTAACCTAACCTAACCTAACCTAACCTAACCTAACCTAACCTAACCTAACCTAACCCAACCCAACCTAACCTAACCTAACCCAACCTAACCTAACCTAACCTAACCTAACCTAACCCAACCTAACCTAACCTAACCTAACCTAACCCAACCTAACCCAACCCAACCTAACCTAACCTAACCTAACCTAACCTAACCCAACCCAACCCAACCTAACCTAACCTAACCTAACCTAACCCAACCTAACCTAACCTAACCCAACCCAACCCAACCTAACCTAACCTAACCTAACCTAACCTAACCTAACCCAACCTAACCTAACCCAACCCAACCTAACCCAACCTAACCCAACCTAACCTAACCTAACCTAACCTAACCTAACCTAACTTAACCAAACCTAACCTAACCTAACCTAACCTAACCCAACCCAACCCAACCCAACCCAACCCAACCCAACCTAAACTAACCTAACCTAACCTAACCCAACCCAACCTAACCCAACCCAACCCAACCCAACCCAACCCAACCCAACCTAACCTAACCCAACCTAACCTAACCTAACCTAACCGAACCCAACCCAACCCAACCCAACCCAACCCAACCCAACCCAACCCAACCCAACCCAACCTAACCTAACCTAACCTAACCTAACCTAACCCAATCCAACCCAACCCAACCCAACCCAACCCAACCCAACCTAACCTAACCTAACCTAACCTAACCTGACCTGACCTGACCTGACCTGACCTGACCTGACCTGACCTGACCTGACCTGACCTAACCTAACCTAACCTAACCTAACCTAACCTAACCTAACCCAACCCAACCCAACACAACACACCACAACACATGTCGTCGTAGCAGTTGAAGAAACAGACAGCAAGACCGTGTTGGCTAGATAAAAAAAAAGCACTTTATTGAACACGGCGCGTGGCAGTATATTCGTGATCGTCGAGGTAGGCATCAAATAAATTAATCAACGCAAGTGGATTAACCTTCTTGTCATACTTGAGCAATTGTGGACAAGTTTTCCACCTGTACCTAAAGATCCTGTGGTTAAACGCTGCAATGCGCGGAAAAGTCTCGTGGTTACTCAAAACAATCACGGGAGTGCGTGTTACAGTCATGTCGCTCGAATACTTGACCGCTACACTGTCTACATCACCCCCAAAAATTTTCTTTATCGTTTCAAATGCGCTCGATTCACAATTTGGTTCGTTCCAAATCAAAATGCGCTTGCCCACGGCATCTTGCAATGGAAAACTAGAATACTTGTTAAAGTTGTGTATAGTGCCCCTGTTTATATAAAAACTGACAACGGCATCAAAGAAAAAGTTTTTTCCAGCACTTGGAGGGGATACAATCTCCATGCAATTCTTCTTGGGTACGTGCCTTTCGAGTAGGTTATACAAGTTGGTTACAAAGTCTGGAACGTCGGGTCCCAATTGATATTCCAACAGCTCTACAATGGCTGCAAACGAAGACGGTACATCCATATAATATTGGCTAATGTTGCCATGTGGTGCGTCAAACAGAGGGTTAGTCTTTTGATACAGAGATATATAGTCCAAAGTGGTCCAGTTACACAATTGTTCATTCAAAACTTGAATGGCACGTTGCAGGCGCTTGTCGTCTAGGCGTATAAATCGCAAGTCCGCACGTTCTAACCACATTGGAGTTCGAGTAATGTTCGTCAGCGGCGAGACCGGGTTCTGGGAGAGGATGAGAAAGAGTGACTCCTCTGTATGGTGTGCTTTCTCACATCTTCTGGTTTGACGTGGAGTAGTTTCCGTTGCGTATACTTGCGAAGTGTTTGGATGGCCTCCAACACTTCGGGTGCAGTCGTCGCATGCACTTGGACCTTGAAATGCTCCAAATAATACCTCCACTGCTCCTGCGGTTCCACATCTGCAATGTCTTGGGAGTTCCAATACCTCAGCTCCAATGTGTTCGAGCCAACTGGTTCCTGCCACCTTAAGGTACTCCAACCGGCGGGGCTCTTTATTAAGATAGTCGACGAGGCGGAAATAGTCCCATCCATTGGTGTTACAAGACCAAACCGAAGAGCGATTTGGTCTTCTGCGGAACCCTGCAAAGGCGACACATCTACACGTTCCGTTGCTCCACGAGCAATCGTGGACGACGTGCAAGTGCGGCCGTCTACATCCCGAGAGGTGGAAGGAGATGGCGGCAAAGGCATATCCTGCTCTGGGTTCTTCAAGGCGCTTAGACAAAGTAAAATAAGACTCCTGAGCTTCTCCATATGATCCAACGGTAATGACATCATGCACAATTCTTCTTCGCTTTGGAACGCGTCGTAACTCTTCTGCCCATCGGGGCAATAGTGGAGGGGACTCGTGATGGTCGCATTCTCGCGTTGCCAATGTTCTTGGTTCGGACAAAATTTCTCCTGGTAAAATGTCCACGCGTCGATCAATTTCTTCAGTTTCGTCCAACTCTTGTATAGGGGAAGCGGCACATCGTGACTCATCTTCTCCACTGCTTTGTCCATCTCCTCCCTAGTAACGGACATTTCCCCGTCAAACATATATTCCAATAATACGTGTAGTGGTACCTCATCGTCATTCTCCTCGAGTCTGACTCGCTTCTTCTCTGGCATTTCCCGCTCCATCTATCAAAAAAAAAAAAATTTGGCAAAGTCTAGAGAGCATTCGAGAGGCAAAGTCGCTAAATTAAAAACTTAGTCTCAAAAATGCTCAATAGAGCAGAGTCAAAGTTTTTGCAGGCTCACCATCCAAGGGGGCAGTCCAGGCAGCAGTCCTTCCAGGCAGGCAGGCAGGCAGGAGGTCTTGTCCTTTCGAGTCCTCGGCGAAGACTGAATTTTCGAGCCGAAGGCAGCTCCTTTTATATCGTGCGGTTGGCCTTCGCGACCTGGATAAACCGGTTAGCGTCCTTGGCGACGCCCAAAACCAGTTCTGCTAGTTGCCTATATAATGAGCGAGCTAACCCTACTAAACCTCAGTCTACTACGACGACTCGGACGGGAAGGATGGAACCTCTGCCAGGACCAAGCAACAGCAGCACTAGTAGCCAGGCTGGTGGAAAGAAGGACGGAGGACTGGGGGCTAATATTCGGCGCATCTTATTGGTGAGTTGTCTACCTGTTAATGACTAATTAGTTGATTAATTAGTAATTAATTAATTAAAAAAAAATGGATGTCGTTGCAGTTGTTGTAGCTAAGTATAAAAGAGTTATATATATATATATATATCTTCTTTAGGATACCGACGACGACGACGACGACATGAAGATTGAAGATTCCCCCGTGTCCAGGGCAATCGAGTACTCCATGGATTTCAAGGAGGATTTTCTCCGATTGGTCGTCGATAAACTCGTCGAGTTTGGAAAGAGGGAAGTCGAAACACGCATGCATAAGGAGAGGGTAAAAGCGCAGAAGATACAAGAAGAAAATCTTAAGGAAAGGGAGATTTGTGCCAAGGTGCTTCGAGGCAATTACGATCATCTGGTCATTATTCGGAGAGAAGATGAAAGCGAAAATGATTACTGTCAGCGGATGGTACAAGCAATGGACGAAGAATGGGACAGAGTAATCAATTGGTTGACGAATAGCGAGATATGCAGGCGATGTGGGTACAAGAAACAATAAAAAGTTTCTTTATTATGGCTTGAATGGTACAGAGAGTAACTTGGCAGTTCCGGTAGATTCGTGATATGTGTAGTGGCCCAAGTGTGTTTGTCGGTTAGCTGGGATATACTTGTTTACCTTAGTTTTGGTAAAGTGTTGGTGGCACGCGCTGTTAATTTTTTGCATGGGCGATATTGTATCGTTGCTCGAGTGAAGCACCAGTTCTGTGTCCACCTAGAAAAATGCCGACACGTCTTGAAATTTATCGTTGCTGCCCGGAGAATCGATCGATTTTTTGCTTACTGCCAAAATTCCAAAGCCCATGCTAGGCTGCGCCTTGCTGCAATTGGGGGGATTGTGTATTAAACCCTGGTGGCTGTGTTCGCGCTCGATGGGCCTGTCGTACTCGCTGTCAAAATCCTCTCGCTGTAGCATTATTACGGAATTTTGCACGCTGGTGTCCTTGATTGTAGAGTCCAGGGTCGAAAGTTGTTTTCCCATTACGGTCGAAGGGGCGGCTATGTACGTGTTGGAATCCCCGCACATTGGGGCGCACGTACGCAGCCAGCCGTTTTGAAAAGTGTAATCGTAATTAATTATGGGAGTGCCAACGTGACTTTTGAAGGGGAAAGTGTTAATAAACTTGTTGGTGCGGGGTGCAAAGTCGGGACAATGAATAAAGTCGTAACAGTTGTTGTGCCGCGGTACCCCCATGCACGTGGGGATTGTGTCGGATTTTGTTAAAGTGCCGCTACTGTCCATGCTTACGCCCCAGTACTTTTCGATCAAGAGGCGATGGTCGTTTGTGTGAAACTCGCTCGGTTCCATCGTTACCATTTGATTGTCTGTCGTGCCCGTGCCCGGCTTGGCCATGCCCGTGTCCAGATACAAGTTTAATCCCACCGAACTCACCCCGTACACCAACATGTCTGAATTGACCGGCTGTACTACGGTAGATCCAGTTTTCCAGGGAGTGCGGATGCCGTGAGGCGTTATTTTTGCGCGGCAAGAAAGGGCTTTGGTGTCTGGAGGCAGCGATTTAAAAGTGCCCGGTGTAATATAGAGGTAGGGAAACTCGACGGGCAGGCGAGACATGGACGTAAAGTAGCCGTAATACTTTTTGTCGTGCGTGTACGTTATCTTCGTTAACACGGTGGCATACCCCCAGGTGGTAAGTAATTTACTGTCACTATATACTGAAACCACTCCTTGGTCTCTGGGGACGCGCAAAATCTGCTGTACGACGACTCCTTCATTTTGAGTATTACTTCCAATTCCTGCTCCTCCGGGCCCGCGTTGGGTGAGTTCTTGCGAGGTCTCCTGGTCCGTTGGGCACGGGTCTGCGTTGGTTGACGAATCTGCTGCGGCGCTGCCGCTTCCAGAGTAAAGGGCTCGCTCGATGAAGTTGGCGACTGAATCTCCATATGGCCGCTTGAAGTCAGGTGATGACCCGCTATCGTGACCACGTTTCCGTCCGGACATGTTTTCCCGTCCATAGAGTGTACGGCCGAGAGCCTTTTCCTCTACTAGGTTTTTAAAACCGAGCCCAGCTGCACCAACGAGAGAGTGCCACGAACCCCGGTCGCTCCAATCACTTACAAAGTCGCCGATGGCCTTGTGATCGGCTGTAAAGATGTCTTGGTCGCTAGTTGCGTTGGAATAGTCGTGATCGTGTTGCCGGGCTATCCAATCGTCTCTGTCCACAGGTTGGCCGTTGTCTAAGGGGTTCCCGGGTCCCAAGTAGCGATGACCTGGAAAGAGAGGCATGCCTGATTGAAATAAATATGCGGTCTTATGAACGGCGACTACAACAACGACGTCGCCCCATTAAAAGCCACCCCCCAATTAACGCCCGCTATTTAAACGAGTAACCTAACCTAACCTAACCTAACCTAACCTAACCCAACCCAACCCAACCCAACCCAACCTAACCCAACCCAACCCAACCCAACCCAACCCAACCCAACCCAACCCAACCCAACCTAACCTAACCTCACCTAACCTAACCTAACCTAACCTAACCCAACCTAACCCAACCTAACCTAACCCAACCTAACCCAACCTAACCTAACCTAACCTAACCTAACCTAACCCAACCCAACCCAACCCAACCTAACCTAACCTAACCTAACCTAACCTAACCCAACCCAACCTAACCTAACCTAACCCAACCTAACCCAACCTAACCCAACCTAACCTAACCCAACCTAACCTAACCTAACCTAACCTAACCTAACCCAACCCAACCCAACCCAACCCAACCTAACCTAACCCAACCTAACCTAACCTAACCTAACCTAACCTAA